CTTAAAAACTTCTCCTCGCCTCAATGTCTACAGTCCGCTCAATTCCCCTGTTCAAAAGGGCCCCAAATCAGGCTGTGTTAGGAGATAACATTATGACACTGGCGTGAGAATCAAACTACACCCCTAGTCTCATTCAAAAGTCTGTTCAAAGCAGTCTGGTCAGGAGATAACATTTATGACATGGGCATGTGAAAGGGAATTCTCTAGCCCCGGTGTAATTGTGTAACATTACCCAAGACTGAGTCGCTTTGTCTGGACTAAGGACTGGAAACAATTTAAATCCGTGCGGTTTAAAGCAATATTAGGATAAAGCGCAGAGTAAATATAATTCTGTCTCTTTAGAACCAGAAGAACTTATTACAAGTACTAACTTCTGGAGTCACTGAGATCGTCTCGTGACAATAAGAGAAAAAGTTGGCACAGAACCAATTCTAAATTACATACAAAGACAGCAAGTGAAATGGTTTGCCCACTTAGAGAGAATGCCTTGTGACACCATACCATACAAAGCATACATGGAAAGAGAAGAAGGTCGTAGAGCAAGAGGTAGACCAAGAACAAGATGGAAGGATTACATCAGAGAAGCTCTACAACAGCACGATGTGCCTATGGTCGAGGCGGCCAGAAGAGCCAGAAACAGAACCTTATATCTCCCTCGACACCCACAGCGGTAAAAGAGGAAGTGAAGAAGAAGAAGACAATAGTTTTACCTAGAGTGCTTTGATGTTGGCTCGAAACTTTCGGTCCTGAGATGCCAACATAGCTTTGATGTTGGCTCGAAACTTTCGGTCCTGAGATGCCAACATAGAGGCTTCGCAAATTTATTAGTGACCTGTGTAAACTAATACTTTTTCAGGAATTACCAATTTCAAGACCTGTTTATGGCTTGAAAGAGTTAAATCAATCAGTCAATCAATCTTCTTCTCCGCGTTCACCAGCTGTACACTCTGGTGGAAAGTTCTGGTTGCTCGTCCACTACTGAACTGCAGTCCTGCCCCAGAACCTGAGTGTTGCGTGTGCATCAGTTTTACAGATCTCATTCTCTTGAATACAGACTGTTGGTTCCCTGCCTCTCTGGCAGATGCACTCTGACTTCAAAGAAGCTCCCCAATTAGTCGACTCTTACGACATGCTTTTGGGGAGGCAGTGGGTCTATTCTTGTTTTCCCCACAATGGGGCCCCGGAACCAACACGGGGGAGTCAATTAATCAATCAGTCAATCAATGGGGAAACTTGATGATGACATGGCTGGTCTCTAATGGCTGTCCAATCATGAACTTTCTGTACTACATTAGAGAAAAGTTAATCCCATAGCATACACTGTCGTTGGGAGGTGATGTCTCAGGTTTTCACATAATCTAGGCCATAACATTAGCTGGGGTGGCCGGCTCTTTTCCTTATCAGGTTTCTTTTCCAGAAAATTCTAAAAATGATCCGGTGCCCAATTTTTCCCTGTGTGTTTTCCTGTGTTTTTCTCTGTGTGTTTCCCTGTGTTTTTCTCTGTGTGTTTCTCTGTGTTTTTCTCTGTGTGTTTCCCTGTGTGTTTCTCTGTGTGTTTCCCTGTGTGTTTCTCTGTGTGTTTCTCTGTGTGTTTCCCTGTGTGTTTCTCTGTGTGTTTTCCTGTGTTTTTCCCTGTGTGTTTCCCTGTGTGTTTCCCTGTGTGTTTCTCTGTGTGTTTCCCTGTGTGTTTCTCTGTGTGTTTCCCTGTGTGTTTCTCTGTGTGTTTCTCTGTGTGTTTCCCTGTGTGTTTCTCTGTGTGTTTTCCCTGTGTGTTTCTCTGTGTGTTCCCTGTGTGTTTCTCTGTGTGTTTCCCTGTGTGTTTCTCTGTGTGTTTCTCTGTGTGTTTCCCTGTGTGTTTCTCTGTGTGTTTCCCTGTGTGTTTCTCTGTGTGTTTCCCTGTGTGTTTCTCTGTGTGTTTCCCTGTGTGTTTCTCTGTGTGTTTCTCTGTGTGTTTCCCTGTGTGTTTCTCTGTGTGTTTCCCTGTGTGTTTCTCTGTGTGTTTCCCTGTGTGTTTCTCTGTGTGTTTCCCTTCTGAGGTAGGGATGCTCAGTATCACTGCAATGTGAACTTGATCCTAGACAACCTTTCTACCATGTCTACTGTAAAGGTGAAGCCGGGAGATGTGAACCAGCGTCATTGCACACGGTTATAAACCATAAGTGCCCTGCCACCAGTACCGACAGCTGATAAATAAAACTATTTGCCTGTGTCGCCGTCTGCACGGAACTCCGTAGCTACAGTGATGTTCCTCCATTTACCCTAGAGTGTTAACTCTGGTACCCATTTCCTAGAGGTTAGGTGAACCCCAGGAACCATCCTGTTTCACACACAGGCCATGCTCTGCAGCGAGTCGCAGGTGGATTTGAAAGCGTGTGTCCTATCGACTGCGCTAACGCAGCCCACAGTCCACTGTATCACCAATTAGTTCACCACCAAGAGGAGAAGCAGCCAATCTCTCAACCTACTCATTACCCAGCACACCAGATAATTTGGACAAAAAAATCAGTGACATGCTCCTGATCTCAGTCTTATCTAGCAAGCTCTTTTCATCATATTGAAAACAAATCAAATAAAATTTATGATAAGCACTAAATGTTTTCTACCGAAAAAAATTACATAGTTTAAATTTGAGATACTAACACACGCGCATGCACACACACAATACTCAGTGGATGAAATATGAAATATACAATAAATGTTATCTGCAAAAAAAAAAAACAACTAAAAAATAAAATATTATTTGAAAACAATACATTTCTCTCAATCTTTCTATTATTTTAGTTGAATCTAAGATAAGCATTAGAGGTTACCTGCAACTGGTGCTTGTATGTGAGGGAGGGTCGATCAAACCCTCTGATTATGAAGCCCTTGTCCATACAACCTTTCCCTTTATACTTGTCCTTGAACCAGTCTGGCAGGGGTGAAGGTTTGCGTGTAGCAGTGTCAATGGACACTGATTGAGTCACACATTTCCACAAGGGGGCTGTATTCTCGTTGTGAACATAAAGCTCAATTACGTAAGACACAGATGAGTTTCCAACATTTCCCAAGGAGAATCTGGCATCAAGAGGCCATTTTGGAATGCTGGAGTCATACAGTCTTCGGGACATGGTGTATTCTGCTGACGACATAAACATGTATCTGTCGCTGGTAACTCTCGGCCAGTCAAGGAATACGTCTCCCGTCACCGGGTCAGGATGATGGAGAATGTATGTTCTAGCTGCCATCGCAGTTTTCATGAGGCTGATAATATTTGCGTTACCTGAAAAATATAAAATGAAAACAAAATGGCCTTTACTGTCTGTTTTTTTTTTTAACCCCTTTCATTAAATAGTAATGTGGTTTCTCTTAATGGTATCCTACGCCAACACGTGCAGTTTTACAGCTATTTGGGTAGTCAGGTAGATAAAGATGGGGGGGGGGGGGGGGGGGGGAACTGTCAGAGATATTAAAATACGAATATAAAAGGCAAGAGCAGCATTCATAGCACTAAGGAATTTGTGTAGGTCAAAAGAAATTTAAACTAATAAAAAACTTAAAATTTTTAATTCTTTAAACTTATAATTGTTTATTCTTATGTCAAAGTCAAATCAGTACTGTTGTATGGAGCGGAAACATGGAGAAATAAAACAATAAACTACAAACATTCACTATGTGGTGTCTGTGTGGAACAGAGGAAAGTAGATTGTATGACAGAATCCTTGCCAGTGTATTTATATACCAACTGACACTCGTTTCAGATGTCCAAACTTCCTCCGAAGTTGGAGTACATCTGCCGGAGAGGCGGGGAACGAAAACTGCAAACAAATAAGCCAGTAAAACGGATGTACATGCAAAACTCAGGTCAAGGTAAAAGCCAAAAGTCCATTTTGGACGAACAACCGCGACTTACCGCCGGAATTCACAGCCGGTGAACAAGAAGAAGAAGAAGAAGATGTCCAAACATAAGTATTAGCTGTATCTTAAAAGGTGCATACTACAGTAAGATTTACATAAATAAAGCACACATAAAGTGCATCCTTTATAACTGAAGTACAAATTTGGAAACAATCAAATGCAACTGCCTGCTTTACCAGGGCAGCTGCAATGCCAGAATCATTTCTTTCTATTGACAGAGTTCAGGATGGGGGTAACGATTCAAGGCAGCTTCAAGAAATCTTAGCGTTCTGCTATTGGATGACATGTGAAGGATTTTAAAGGCGTTGTCTTTGGTTAAAATGTGTCAGTATTTTAAAAGATGGTATGCTTTCGTAGAGGGATGTCTATATGGCCGCTGTTCTCATTCTGATTTTTATTTTGCATTTTTCCAACCCTTACTGGAATATGCTCAGCAACTAGTTTACTCAGGCGTCAAACAGATCTGCCTACATAAGCAGCTTCACAGCTGCATTTAAAACAGGTAAAACAGGCAGTGTGATTTGATTCTTGTTGAATTTGTACTTCACTTATAAAGGATTCATTTATTTGCTTCATTTATGCATTTGTTACTATAGTATGCACCTGACGAGATACAGCGAAATATGCCAGGCAATAAATTGTGCAGCTTACCTATGAAAAAATTAAGACCTATGAAATGACATGCCTGAGAAGAGCCGCCAACTCAACAAACGAGACACAGTTAGAAATTGATATTACTGTAGGAACAACACCATGTAACAAATTCATTGAGAAACAGAAAGTAAAATGATTTGGTCAACTAGAAAGAATGCAGCCAGAACAACTAACTACCAATGCAAGCGCTACTCATGAAAAAATCTGAAGTTGGGCAATTGGCGGTCCTAGTAGGAGAAAATAGATTGATGACATTAAAGTGCTTCTACATTCACATGCAATGACAATAACCATTACTGCACATTGAGCAATGGATTACAAAATGATATGTGTGTCACTTTACACAGACATTTGCTTACCCCTACAATCAGGGCAGTAATATCTTGATCTGAGTCACAGTTGTACAGTCCAGACCAACTGGAGTTTGAACTAATCTGCAGATGATTTGGTATAAGACTGCTTTTAACAGAGCTAGGAGTGTGATGCTGATCTCAGGTAATGTCCCAAGAATGTAGATTTTTACAGAGCTTGGAGTGTGGTATGGATCCCATGTAATGTTCCAAGAATGAAGATTTTTACAAAGCTAAGATTGTGTAACCCCCCCCCCCCCCCCCCCTCCTCCCCCTTTCCCCAAACTCTTCAAATGGGGTCCCAGAATCCACACAAGGGTAAAATACATACAACTTACTGTAATTGTCAAAACTTTCAAGTGACAGTCCAGGAATAGTGAAAGTCACAACATAGTGGGGCTTATCTGTGATGTGACAGTTCCTGACATCCCAAAGAGACAAGTTCTTTCCTGAGAATGATCTGGTGAATATTAATTTTTACATCTCATTTGATGAAATATATCTAAATGTGACAAACTGTGCTAAATCACTGCAACAAACTATGCGGTAAATCAATGCAACAAACTGTGAAAAATCACTGAGACAAACTATGTGATCAATCACTGTGAGAAACTATTTGACCAATCATTGTGACAAACTATGATGAATAATGGTAACAAATAATGAGAAATCAATTAAACAAAGTGACACATCTATGTAAAATTATCAAGGTAAATCCAATGTAACATTTAAATTGTGCAACCCCTGTGACAAAATATATTTCTTCCTCTTCTTCTTAGTGTTTTAGTAGAAAGTTCTGGTTGTTCATGCATCTCTGAGATTTAGTCTTTTTCCAGAATCAGTTTTCTGAGATCCGGCTTACTTGTATGCATATTGTTGGTTCCTTGCCTCTTACTTAGGCAGTGTACGTTTAGCCAATTAAAGTACCAACCAATCATGCACGAACCCCTCCAACCATCACCTGGTTTTCAAGAAGCTCTGATTACCATATGCTCTTCATGGATAACATCTGGTTGATCCACCAATGAGACCCCAAAAAATCAGTTCTTTTCTTTTAAGTCACCACATCACGTGAGATTTAGGAAAATCTTATAGTATGAGGGGGGGGGGGGGGTGTTTAGGGTTAAAAAAACAGCGACTACTACTTATTTGAACAAAGAAAACACACACAAAATATTGCACAATTTGTTGCCAGGCATATTTTGCTGTATCTCATCAGTTGCCCACTACAGTAACAATAACATAAATGAAGCAGATAAATTAATCCTTTTTAAGTGAGGTAAAAGTTACAACTGTCTGTTTTTGCTGGCAGCCTCAATGTCAGAACTATGTCTTTTTGTATACAGAGTTCAAGGCGCAGGCGATGAATCGCTGCAGCTTTAAGACATCTTAGCCTTCTGCCACTGGAGGACATGTGAAGGGTTTGAAATGTGTTTTCCTTGGTTATGGTGTGTCCAGATTTTAAAAGATAGCATTCTATTGTGGCGGGATGATCTTCACGGCTGGTATTCTCATTTTTAATATTATTCTGGATGGCTTTTTCCACCCATACTGGCATGTGGTCAGCGACTCGTTCTCCAGGCCTCAATCAGTTCTGCCCATATAAACCGGTAGCCTGATGTTGCTAAATTTGATTTTCTATTTAAAAAAATTGGATCTTAAGACATTTCAGCAGTGTTTATTTCGGTTTAAATCATCACCCACCCAGGAATAAACACGGAGCGGGGGGGGGGGGTTACAGAAACAGGTATCTGAGCACTTCTGGTTTGAGTGAATGGTTTAATGGGCAGTCAGGCTGCTCTGTTAACTCCTGCTGTCTGTACCAATCAGCAGGATCTGATTTTATCAACTGCTGATACACTCATCGCTTTTGAATAATGACTGTTGTCTAGTAAAACTAGTAGTATAATTATCTAGTATTATAGTATAGATTATACGTTTAAGGAAATGTTTACACAATAATATATGTTTATCAAAAAATCTTTTTATTAGTAAATGTTAGTCTAACTTTGAATCCAGTCTTCTGTGTGACAGACATATTGAACATACTCTGATTTGGACTTTAGCATCAATAGTAATTAATAGCCCAGTCAGTGTCCGCCACAACACTGACTGTCAACACCCTGAAGTTAATTCAAACAAACATTAAAACTAATAATTGGATCATCGATCGTAATTGTCCAACTGTTTTCTAACATTTCTCTTCTATTATCTATTTCATCCATGAATGCATGATCACTCATGACTGAAATAATGTCTGGGAGTAAAACAAGAATGAAACAGACAAGAGATTTTAGAGCCATTTTACCTGGTGTTGGACATCTTGCAGACGATCGTACGAGACCACAGGCGAGGGGCTGTTTCGGAACTTTGTATTAGAGATCTTTGGCGGCTAGAAAATAGGATTGGTGGTCTGTTTCCGTTGTCTAGGACGCTAGTTCTACTTCTGCAGCAGTTTTTAAAAGGGCAGGAAATTATAGGGAAGAGAAATAAGGGGTAGGAAAGAACAAATACTTTATGTTAGCTTAACCAAATAGATCACAATAAACAAACACAGGACGTTTAGCCTTCATCAGCACATAAAGAACAACACAGTACACATACACAAATATGCAAACAGCGGCATCAGCAGCTTCTGCTCCGTTTATTGTTACTGTTGCTACAATTGTACGTCTATTTATGTGTGGTGGGTTTGTCTACAACTATTTCAGTTTGGTCAATGATCTGTGTGTTCTCGTGTTAAATGCTTATCAGTTTTTCTTACCCAACGTCAAGGTTCCTTACTCGACGAGAGTCGGTTGGTCCTTTTATTTGCACCCACCAAAAACATTAGGTCAAATAAGTAGCAGAACTAGCCAGATTTATGGTTAAACACAAATCAGGATGATAAAGCCACTGCCGAGGCTAAACATCCTTCATTAGCATATAACAAAACCACAAATTTTACAACTACGTAAAGGACTACGCATAAACAAATTAGCTGTCATTGAGACTGAAGACAACTCCTCATCGAAAGACCCATGCAAGTCTGAAAACAACGGTTGTGTGTTATCCACGGGACACGTAAATGACATTGGTAGGTAGTACAGCTTGCACAGCGAAGAATGACACCTGAATTCTTCCAAATATATATATAAACATTCATAATGTCAAATGTACGCTGAACCTTTTCTTCACATAAAGTAGCACAGAATAGTCATCTTCTTCTTTAGCATTCTGAGCCCTTGAGGTTTACTGTTGCAGATATCACTCGTCTCCATTCATCTCTCTGGCTGGCTTTCTCTTCACAATTTGTGACACCAGTTATTTACAGGTCTGGCTGGACATTATCTCTCGAACTTCTGTCATGATGCCAGTGATCAATGGTGATTTAAACAGATTATGTGTTACATTTTTGCTTCTCACTCTCCATTCCCCGCTGTTAGCATCTTTGATGGGTCCAAAGATTTGTCGTAAGACTGTTTTCGAAAACCTGTAAAAAGGCTTCATCTCTTTTATTTCTGCTTCAAGTTTCAGGGCAATATAAAACGACTGGTCTCATCAACGTTTTATACATTTTGATCTTAGTGTTGCGAGACAGACACTTTGACAGTAGCAGATGTTGAAGGGCATAGTATACTTTATTTTTAAATTTTATTCTAGATTGTATTTCTTCTCTCAGCATATTGCAGCAGTTGAGATTTGCACCCAAGTACTTATATGTTTCCGTTCGTTTGATTTTCAAATTATCGACTTGTATGTGGCCGGAGTTTATATTCTTTCCATGTCTAGTTAGTATTTGTACAGAATAGTAAACATTTTATATCATTTTATGTTTTGCATCCTTCAGTCAGTCTGCGGTAACTAATAACTAGGAATGAAAGAATCCTAAGTATTAAAACAAGTAACTAAACTTGTAAATCGTTACTGACAGCTTAGTTAATGCATGAAAGCTCCATTAGCTTTGAACATAACCAATGGTTCCATGTTGTCAGCATTAAGGCCGTGTATGCAGAAGCGTATGTAAGGTAACCACTATTCGTATTCGGCCCGACCACAACTATTCGGCTGAATACCGAATAGTCAATATGTCCACTATTCGGCCTGAAGCGAATACGAAGCGAATATTCGGTACAGCCCTAGTTATAATGTTTCTCGACTTAATGTGTGTGAATCCCTTCCTCAGAAGCAGAAACATTTTTAACCTGTATCCCATCTACGATTGTCTTTCCTGTCGCCGCCATTTACACGTATCTCCCTTGAAACCTTCATACAGTGATGTCAGCAATGTCCCAAGGTTTGGCCCACCATGTCAATTTCGGAGAAAAAAATATTTTCACCTTGTTCAACCAGCCCTCCTTTGCTATATATATATATATATATATATATATATATATATATATATATATATATATATATATATATATATATATATATATATATTAGGGCTGTACCGAATATTCGCTTCAGGGCCGAATAGTGGAGCTAATAACTATTCAGTATTCGGCCGAATACTTGCGGTCGGTTCGATTACGAATAGTGGTTACCTTACACACGTTTCTGTATACACTGCGATAGACTGAAATAACTCTCTCATTAACACTATAGTTGCTGTTGCCTAAGTCTGTCGTAACAGGGGCAACTGCGACCCGGTTGCGTGGTGCAGCATCCAGTTTTAACATATGGCTGTGAGTCTTGGACAATCGGTAGGCGGACCAAGAATTTTTTTGATGTGGTTTTACAGAACAATGCTTAAAATACATTAGACAGCCAAAAAGAGCAACCAAGAGGTTTTGAAAGAGGCGGCAAATAATCACAGACATCATAAGGAGAAAATCATTATTTTTCGGCCATGTTTTGAGAAGAGGGAAAATGGAACATGTGGTGACCACTGGAAAGATCTGTGGAAGGAGGGATAGAGGAAAACAGTGAGAGAAGATTCTTGACAGTCTTGTTACATGGCGTGGAGGTGTGTCAGCACACGAACTAATACATGCTGCAGGAGATCGCAGATTGTGGCAAGGCCCACGCCAGTCGGCAAGGCACCTGATGATAATGACACACTATTCGTATTCGTATTCGGCCGAATAGTTGGTCCCTCTATTCGTATTCGGTGGAACAGTGAAAATCCCTATTCGGTACAGCCTTAGCATACACACACACACACATCACACACATCACACACATCACACACATCACACACACACACATCACACACATCACACACACTACCCAGGCTTTGTGTTCATAGAGAAGAAACTACATAGCTGAGCAGTGAAGCTATACAGCTGGCCATAAGTGGTATGATCAGAGACTGATTCTTAGACATCATTGGTTTTCCCATGCAGGATGATACCTCGCTCAGCTACTTTTTTTAAACTCCAAAACAAAAGTAACATAAACATGTTTGGGACAAAGTTCGCTGCTGGAGCTGTGGAATCACAAGTCTGTTAGGGTTTCTGTCGTAGACCAGCTGACAGT